GGGGGGGGGGGGGGAAGAACAGATCTTTCTTCAAAGCACATTTGGCTCAGAGTGTGGGAACAGCAAGCACTCCAGGAGTTTACAGATTGTCTGGAAAAACCACGAAAATACCCAAAGGTGCAGATAATGTAGTTTCAGCTCTGAAGACTGATGGTGAAGGAGGGCAGCATCTTATTGAGCCAATTCAATGCTCTGTCACAGACCAGCAGGATAAGTCCCCAGCACAGTGGCTCTGCTGTCTCAGAGGCGAGTGAAATCTGGTCTGGCTGCCCTGCACCAAAAGCACTAAGTAAATTTTGACCATAGATTCTGTGTTTAGTGGTAAAGAATGAACTCAATTCTGCTCTCAACAAAGAAGAAAAGGGTAGCAAGTAAAAAATCATTCCCTCACTGAAACAGTACTCATGTGAGCTGGAGCCTGAGCTGCCACAATCATGGAGAACAGGGTTTCTGTTTTCCTTCATTTTGACACTTCTGTCCCAGCTTTCACAGAGACTTTTCACAGTTTTCATTCAGTCCATAACTACAGGAAGAAACAGGAAACTCTGGCCATTCAGAGAACAGAACACTCTCGGATTCCAAACAGGCACCAGAAAAATATTCTTCAACTAGTGAGAAAAACAACTGGTATCTGAGTCCTGCCTTCAGCGCCCAGCTTCAGGTCACAGTACGTATTTTTCAGTTTTATCTTTCCCAATATAAAGATCAGATTTGTGTCTGGCTGTTTTACTGAAATGAAACCTAAAATACTGGAGAATGGCTTTACTTCACAGAACCTAGGACTGGCACTATGGTTCTGCTACATTTTTTTTAAAAAAAGTGCCGAGATAGAGCCAGGCTGAAAAAAGAAAGGTGGGGGATATCTGGAGATGAACCACCACACAGAATGCACATTTCTGCTTCTCCTTCCCATACACTGGCTGAGCTTTCTTGCCTCTTCAATCATCAGCCCAAGCAGCAGCACCAGAGCCCAGCTGAGCCGCATGCAACGTGGGAGAAGGAAAGTAACATTTCACTTAAAAGAGTTCCCAAGACATCAGAAAAAGTGCATGGGCAACGTTACATAGCAAATTACCAAGTATACTAAGCTAATTTTTAAATTAGTGGCATCAAAGAATGGTACTTTGAAAACTGACATGGTTCAATGTTTTTGATATAGAACAAATCGGAACAGCAAACAAATCCGCTCTGTCTGCTGGGACAGGTGCCACTGTCTTGGAGCCAGGATTTCAGCTGGACTATTGATGTGCACAAAGCCTTGACGTTGGGCCAGACAAACGGTCTGGACATCCCAACAGCTGTGTCTGCTATGAGTGCTTGGAGGAAGGGGCCATCTCTGTCCCATCCACCTCACTTGACCAGAGCAATCCTCAGATGCCACCTTTACATGCGACTCAGGTGATTCCCTTAGCCTAGGAATGGATCTCTGAGTGTGGGTCCAGCGCCAGTTGTTTCATATCAAACGGGCATTTACTCAGCAGAAGCAGATGCTGGGACCCCAGCCAGCTGTTGCCCTCTCAGCACTGGCGTGGAGGTCCAGGGATTCAGTTGAAGATTTAGTTTTCACTCAAATGCCTGATGGGGCTGGCTCGTACCCCCACAGACTGGCCTGGAGCAGTCACACTTACACCTTCCCCAATAAGCAAAACAGGAGAGCTCACAGCTGCGGAGGAAGCCTTGCTGGAAAGCTAAACCCTGTTCAGCAATCACACCAGAGCATGACTGGGCTTCATTCCCTCAGACATGCAGCCTGCTAAAGGTGTCCAGAATGAGCAGTACACAGAGAGCACAGTGCACACAGAGACTGTGAGTATAACGGTGCAACACTCCTACAGAGAGAAAAGACCCACCTCTGCATGACAGCAGGAACCAGGAGCATAAAGACAAGCTTTAAAATAATACACACTACACACAAATACCCTTCTTCCCTAAGTTCTAGCTCTACAAATAAGAGTCACTTCACACACGCAAACCCAGCCATACCTACAGGAGACAACACAGCGACATCATGTAGCAGCTTGGGATGGAAACGATGGCACAGGAGGCATTAAGTGACACAGGGAACACCAGCACAGACTCCCCAGCTCGTGAATTCTGCTGGATGATCTTTACCAGAAAATCAAAAAGGGCAGATTTCATCTGTCTGAAACTTCTATGTTACCTCTTCCTACAGCACCTGGATCTGTTACTGATGTCCCACCCACTCATTTACCCAAGGAGATGAGGAAAAGTACAATTTAGCTTAACATCTGCAGTACAATCCCCAAATTCTCAACATACTTCTCATGAATTTTCACGACACGATGAACTATAGGAATTTCCCTTCCTTCTATCCTAAAGACCACGATTTCTCCCACTCTGATTGGATCTTCAATTCGGTTCGTGAGGAACAGGAGATCTCCTCTGTGAAAGGCAGGCTCCATGCTTCCACTGAAAAAGAGAAGAGGAGCAATCGAACACTATTTAAACACTTGCAAGCAGGTTTCAGAGTTTTGATTCCTCTAAGAAAAATCTCACAATAAGTTAAATGAAAAGCTCTTAAAAAAATCCATGTGGAAACCAGGCATGTGTCTAACCTCTACTGCATTCAGTCACCACACAACCAGCACTTCAGATTTGTTGGGAAAAGAGCAGTGTTAAAAAGAGAGTGTTAAAAGCACAGGGAAGGGCAAAAGATGTCTGCTTTCTTAATAACAACACAGCTCATGACAAGCAAGGATCTTCTTGACTTCCGAGCTCTCCATTGGTAGGGCTCCACTGGCAGTGTTGCAGTGTTAGGAAGCTTTATGGTATTGGTTTTTATTTTTTGCAGGTAGATAGATCATCCTCCCGAACAGAGCTCTGAAAGCACAGGCTCTTGTGTTCCCATCTGGAACAGACAGACGGGCATGCTGAAAATCTGTTATTGTGATTCATCGCTTTGCTTAACGATCTCATTTCAGGCACCGCTATTCAAGTTATTTTTCTCCTGTCTTGTAAATGGCAATTGTTACAAAATACTTAACCTTCTTAATTCCAAATAAATAATGCAGAGCAAAATAAAACGATGAACTTTAAGTATCACATATATTTGTGTGTTATCTCAAGACAGCTCAGAAGCTGCTATTCAGAATAGAAGATCACAGTGGCAAGGAAAAGACATGACCTGATGGCCCCTGTCTTAGGGAGGGGAACAGCGTGAAACATCTCTGCTGGACTTCACAGACCCGTCAGGAGGGAACAGGAACGCCACTCGGTTTTATTTTGTGGGAGTTCTGTTAAATGGCACATGGTAATTAACACTGACGTAGAAACACAGGGAAAGGCCAACGCGGGCACAGAACAGGCCCCGTGCAACAGCTACGTGGTGTCTGACAGCACCAGCATCCCATCGCTGCCCAGGAACTTCAGCCACAGGAATTAGGGAATTTGTCCCAGGCACTGGGAGGGTGGGAGTGACACTGGTAACGCCTACTCACAGCCCTTCTGCGCGGGCAAAAGGCAACATCTAAACCACATCCGGTTACAGACTGATACCCTTACTGTCAGCCATGCTTATAAAAGGGTACGGCTACAGCGCTCCTTCTCCTGGCCATGTTACATCCCACTAGAATGCCAGGAAAAAACCCAAGCAGCTACAAAAGAGAAGTTAGCGGATACTTCTAAGGATGCAACATACACACAATAACACTTGCTGAGCATTTCAGCAAGCCAGTTCCTGTTTAAAAAAACCCCAGCAACTCCTTTTCGCTATACAAGTTTATTTGCTGGTGTCTCAAAGATTTCCACTTCCTTTTCACTAACCAACACTCAGCACTGTTCATGTAGCAGCCACAAGACATGGGGGCAGGCAGGGCAGGAGGTGCCAGTGCACTGCCACGTCCCACTTTCACTTGGGAAGTGCCATTTGCCTGGGTGGGAAGAGGAGCTCTGCCACAAACATTGTTTTTAAGCAGGTATGACCTGCCTGAGCAACGGGGCCATCACCCCCTACTTCAAGGCCTTCCTTTTTCAAGTCTCTTTCACCAGCACCACTGAGTATTTCTCCAGGAGGTTTGGTACGATCCAGAAATGCCCGGGTTGTGCTCTGGCCATATTTCTTTGAAGTCTTTCCTCAGGACCACCTCTCCAATATACAGGCTGACAGAGGAGTAAAAGCAAATGATGTTTCTCATAGAATCACAGAATGGTTTGGGTTGGAAGGGACCTTAGAGATCCCTGGGCAGGGACACCTCCCACCACACCAGGTTGCTCCAAGCCCCCTCCAACCTGCCCTTGAACCCCTCCAGGGATGGGGCAGCCACAGCTTCTCGGGGCAACCTGGGCCAGGCTCTCACCACCCTCACAGCACAGAATTTATTCTTAATGTCTAATCTAAATTAATCCCATTCCATTTTAACGTTGGGCTGCCGGCCTGGTTTACCTCCTTCCTTTTCCCTCCCCGTTCCTCCCGTTCCAGGAGAGCAGGAATTCTTGGGGAGCCTCCCACTGCCCCATCCCCCTCCTCCGGCGGGCCCGGGCGGCCCCAGCTCCGCCATGGCGGCGCCCGGCCGGATCCCCAGGCCCCGCGGGGTTCTACCCCCCGCCCTTCCCCGGGCGAGATTTACCTCAGCACCACCACGATGGGGCTCTCGCTGCCCGTCACCACCATCAGCCCCTTCCAGATCATGAGGGCGGACGAGACGATCATGCCGAAGTTCAGCACCTGGTAGTACAGCTGGGGAAGGAGGGGGGGGACACGACACGGTCAGTCAGGCCCCGCCGACCGCGGGCCGCGCAGGGCAGACCCAGCCCGCCCAACACGCACCTCGGTCCCGCCCCGACCTCCCCCCGCCCCGCTCCGGCACCTGCCGCTTGTTCATCCGCCGCACATCGTCCAGAAAATCCAGCGACAGCATCGCCGGCACCGACGGCGGCGGCACCACCGCCCGCCCGGCCCCGCTTCCGCTTCCGGCCCCACTTCCGGCCGCCGCGGCGGCGGCCCCGCCCCTTCCGGTGAGGCGGCGGCGGCCATGGCGGCCCGAGGGAGGAACGACGCCCAGGCAGGCACCCGTGGATGCGTTTATTTGCAATACTTTGAAGTAAACATCATAGCAAGGCACGGACGCCGCTTGCGGGTTAAATAGACGGGTGATGGCTCGGGAGTGTCCCCTGCTACCCTTAACTCTACGTAGGCTACCGGTCACACAGCCCTAGGCTAACGAACACCGTATCAAAAATACAAAGAGTCCAAACTGGTCGTATCAAAACACGTCGAGACGAGAAGGTGAGCGATCCAAATGCAATAAGATAAATAGTTCTTAAATTATTTAAACATCGTCATAGTAAACAATAACCAGCAGGATTCTGGCTTAACATAATAAAAAAAAATAATAATGGTATAGAAGGTATTTATATTACACGAAGCGCGTGTGTGCCGGGGAGGGCGTGAGGGAGGAGGGAGTCAATATGACTACACGGAAAGAAGCGTCTCCCGCGTGCCGGCGGGAGGAGGAGGAGGAGGAGGGACGGCGGTGCCACCGCTGCCATCACCACGGCCACTCGGCACCAGGTGCCCGTCGGCAGCGCCGGGACAGTTCCCCATCTGGGAGCGGTGCCAGCTCGGCTCTGCCTGAACTCCCCGCCGGGATGAGCCACCGAGCACCGGGCCCGGCTGCACCCACCCCGGGACAGCACCCAGCAGCGCAGCTCCACCGACGGGCTGCCACCGGCTCCCCGAGGGGCACTGGGCCCTCCTTAATGTGACACGTGGCCTTGAGCTGCACTCACCCGAGACGGCAGTGGCTACAAAATTCTCTTTCGGGATGATTCAGGTCCAAGACATTTCGTTAAGTTGCCTTTTGGAAAAATAAGGTGGTTGTTATTTGGGCAATTAAAGAAAAATGGGCACAACTTACAGCTTGAACCTGTCCTGTGTAACGCAGAAGATCCCAGATTGGCCAGCACGGTCCTGACAAGCACGATTTGCTGAGACACTATTATGAGTTAAAATGAGTAAAACAAAAGGCAGGATGGGAAGAGAAAAAAAGAAGCCATAAATAGGAGAAACAAAAGAAGACAGGGAAAGCAAGGCCGGGGCTGCAGGCAGAGGCTGAGGCAGTGCACGCTCGAAGGAGGACAGCTCATCTGACAGAAGCTGCAGCTGCAGAAAGTGCTCCTTGATCCTCAGGAGTTGGACAGGCTCCAGCAAGGATTCTCGCCCTGCTTTCCCTTTTTACCTCTCTGGGCTGGCAGAGAGTTAGTGCTTAGGATGCAATGGCAGGGGGTTTTCTTTTTTTTTTTTTTTAAATTTCCCTTACAAATAGAACGGAAAAGCAATGTCCATCCCAAGAAATCAACAGAATATTTCAAAGATTCGCCCCGTCCCCACCCCGTATTTTGAGTAAAAACCTCCCAACAAAAGAACCCCAACCAACCAAAAGGGGTGTTTTGTTTTTAAGTCTTAAGAGACTTTGAATGATTGTTCTGTGAGGTGCCATTAGGACCCTCCACGCCACACGTCTGACTGTGTTCACAAAGAGCTGAGTCACTTTTGCACTCTTTGCATTGCAGGTTTTCTTCTTCCGCCGTAGTGTTCATCTCGCCGTTATACCCCTCGTGTCCGTTCTCGCTCATCTCCCTTTGCAACTTCTGTCTTTCATCTTTCTCCTCCTCCTCTTCCTCCTCCTCTTCCTCTTCCTCCTCCTCCTCATCTTTTACTTTATGAACAATGAAGAGGTGTCTGTTCAGAGAGATGTGCGAGGTGTAGCACAAGCCGCAGAACAAGCATTGGTAGGTGGAGCTGTCTGTCTTGTGCTGAGGTATGTGTTCCTGAAACTCCACACTGACGTCTGTCGCGAAGCCACACTTAGCGCATTTCCAGTGCGCTTTCAGTTTTTTGGCTGGCGGTGCCTCCGAACCCACAGCGGTCTCTGCCTGACCCAGCTTATCCATTGCCATCCTCTTTGGAGATTTTTCCTTTAAAAAAAAGCAAGATTAAAAAGTTACTTTATTGTTTGAGCCCATGGGAGAATAAATGCTCAATTCCACACGCGTATCTGAAGGCGCCTGAGGGTGAATCAACATGGGTATTCCGATACAAGCTGAGGCCATGCCCAGGGACTCCTGCTGCACTGCCTCTCCTACTGGTACCAAACACCTCGGCCCAACACGCGGGATCTCAACAGCCCTCCAGTGACGTGAGGTGGGAGACCCGGGAGGGGTTGGCTGGGCAGTGACTTGCCAGGGAAAGAGAATAGGAACTTGCTGTGGGAAGGAGTCCACAGAGCAGGGACAGCTGGGGCACATGGGTCATTTTCCTAGACAAGACTTCTCAGATTTAACTCTGAATGTTTTTCCCCTCCACTCAAGCCTTCTCTTCATGCATCTCTCATTAACTCTTCCCCTCTGTTATAATCCCACAGCATGCTTCTCCTCCCTTCATGGGATTGTTTTCTCCTTATCCAGCAGCACTGAGCGGTCTGCGGTTAGGACACAGCTCATGGGCTTGTCTTTGCAGACCCAGCTGGAGCCACGTGAAGCCACCGCCTCCCCCTATTCAGCCAGGTGGGCTCTGTGCAGGGGAAGCAGCCACCCGCTCAGGGAAGGGAATTCTTGAGTTGTCCCAGGTTTCCTTAAGGCATAAATACAGAGGGGAGTCAGTCTTGGCTGTGATTCCTCAATGCCAGGGTACAGACGAATGATAAATTGCAGTGAGGTGGAAAACATATGTCTATTTTTAAAGTAAATGGAGCAAAGAAGCTCAGTCAAGCCAACTCTCCACTCCAACCCAAAATAAAATTAGTTGAATGGTTGCATCTGCTGAAAAAAATTACACAATCCTACTTAGGAGCAATGGAGTTCTCCTAGGTAATGGATCTAATAAATATTTTAAAACAGAAAAGAAATCTTTTGTAACTAGCAGAAAAAAACAAGGGAGAAAGAAAAAAATGTCCCGGGCTCACGAACAGAGCAGCAGGGGAAAGCAGGGGTGATAACAAACCTAAATGACACCTGGTTACAAAGTAGACTGAAAAAAGGCCAGGAAAACACAGGGCCACATGTGCAAGAGTATCTTGAGAAATGCAAGATAAGTTGCCCTGGTGCTGCTGCAGCTCAGCTGGGCTTTCAGTTCTGATGCCAACACTGCCAGAGAGGTGCAAACTGGATGGAATTGAGAGGAGGGGAAGGAAATCTGCCGTATGGATGACATGGCTCGACTGCCACAAAGCTGCAGCTCGACATAACACCCCAAGTGAACAGCTATTCCCCAGGTACATTTATTTTCCAATGAAAATACGTCAGTTACTTCTGCTGTGTCTCTCTCTGGAGCTTTTGCTTTGGCCATCTGGGATAAGTCTGGGTTTTTGATGCCATGCATGAGACTGATGTGATTCTCCAGCATGAACGGCTGAGGAAATGTCTGATTTTCATCTGTGCAGTACCTGGGAAATATAAAAAGGAAGAAAATGTATTAGAAGAAATGCCCACCCAAACAGCTCTTTGTTTTTGTTATGTGCCAAACCAATGGGTATCATTGGAGACAGACGCTGGTGAGTAATGTACTATTAGAGTACCAAAATATGCAGCAAATCATCATTTTACTAATAAAGCACTATCCCTGAGAGAAATCTAGAACAGTTTAGGTTTACCACAGGAAGTGTGAATGAGAATGGAAGTAGGGCAGGTCTTATTTACAGTACCATACTAAATAAATACGGGGCCTAGTGGAGATCAGGCCCACTGTGAGACATGCTACACAAGCAAGGATAAATAACCGAGATGGAAAAGGCATGGGAGAAAATGACTCTCAGATGAGAGACCTCCGCACAGAGGGCCCTGTTCATGGCTCACTAACACCCAGGAGACCTGCAGCACAACCAGGTTCTGCACCCAGCACTCCCAAGCACTCAGCATCCCACCCATGAGACCACGTGTATCACAGGATCATAGAATTGTCTAAGTTGGAAGGGACCTTTAAGACCATCAAGTCCAACCATCAACCTCACACTGAGAAAACCATCACTAACCTGTGTCCCTCAGCACCACGTCTGCCTGGCTTTTAAATACCTCCAGGGATGGTGACTCCACCACTGCCCTGGGCAGCCTCTTCCAAGACTCAATGACCCTTTTGTTGAAGAACTTTTTCTTAATATCCATCCTAAACGTCCCCTGATGCAACTTGAGGCCATTTCCTCTTGCACTAATAAGACAAGATCATAACAGACTTAAAATTTTTACAAAACTGCTGAACTTCCAACTTAGATAACAATAACCTGGGCAGAAGCACTCATGACCACATCATTTATACACTACTATTCATGTTAAAACTTGGTAGGACAGAAGAGCTGCCAGAAGAGCTTGAAGGGGATGTGCCATCTGTTAACTGTTGCTCCCGGATGACCAAGGTCTACTGGAAATAAGTGCCAGGACTTACAGACGCATCAACCTGCAGCATGGTGAAGTACAGAAAGGTCTCCCTAGCAATTGGGAAACCCAAGATTGACTTTGTTCTCTTCTGCTGCCTGTCAGCATGACATGAGGAAGGTCCATCAACTAGGCATCAACCCCAGCAACGAGGCAAGAAACACCCGACTTCTCTGAAATGCACAAATTGCAGCTGAAATGTGGGCAGCAGGAGATGAAAAACAACAGAGAGGAGATGAAACGTCTCTGGGCAACAAAGCCATCTTTTAAAAGGAGAGAAGAAGATTCCTATTGATCTTCCACTAACTAGACGGAAATTAAACAACCGTCAGTAATGATGTGAAAATGCAGACATGCTCATTGAATACTTCTGGTTTTTAACAAGAACTGCTTAGATGATAAATCAATATTTAATAATGATGGATTTTTTCTCCTTCATGGAGGAAAGATGAGAGATTATTAAGTGGTATTTATCAAAAATAAACATGTTGAAAATCAAGTGTTCCAGACAGTTTGTACTTAAGACTTGGAAAATAAGAGCAAGTCTCCATAACAATAACCAAGTGAATTATGAAAGAA